ATTAATGATTTGGTTAACTATTTCTTTTTTCATGAATATTAGTAGTTGCCTAATCTTCAATATCTTAGTTACTATTTTTTAAAAAGGCTCACTAGCCACATAGAAATCATTTGCAATTTTATTTTTTGCAGTGCTGGGTATCAAGCCCCAGACCCTGCCAATCCTTGGAAAGTGCTCTACCACTGAGCTACCATCTTAGTCCCTTCACAATGATTTTTTAGTAAGAAATGTCAGGTACTAGCTGACAATGATGTATCTTTTCAATTTAACTTATTATTATTATTATTTTTTGGTACCAGGGATTGAACTCAGGACCTTGCACTTGTGAGGCAGGTGCTGGAACCACTAAGCTAAATCCCCGACCTTTTCTTTTTTTTTGGTGCCAGGGATCGAACTTGGGTCCCTGCGCTTGCAGCACAACCACTCAGCTAAATCCCCAGCCCAATTTAACTTATTTTAATGGCTGTGTGTTATGAGCATATAATTCTTAACTTCTTTAAACATTTCTTTATTTTGGCTTTTAAATAATATATCAATTGGGTCTGGGATTTAGCTCAGTGTTGCCAACGCCTGCCTCGCAAGCACAAGGTCCTGAGTTCAATCCCCTGTAGCAAAAAATAAATAAATAAAAATTAAAAAATAAAACCAATTAATATCCTTGAGTTCATAAACCTTTTTGAAATTTTGATTTCCCTTAAAATAAATTATTGGAAATAACAAGTTTGATCAAAGGACAGGAATGTTTTTATGGGGTTTTCTTCACTGACAAATTGCTTCCCAAAAGATTTATAGGGGTTATAAACCATCAGCAATATACGCTCCCCCCCCCCGCCCCCCCCCCCGCCCCACCCCGCCCGGTCCCCTTGAGACAGGGACTCACTATGTATGTCGTTCAGGATGCCCTTGAACTCACTATATAGCCAAGGCTGGCCTTGAACTTATGGTAATCCTCCTGGTTCAGCCTCTGGAGTGCTGGGATCACAGGTATGAGTCACTACATCTGGCTTATATGGTCTTTTTTTTTTTTTTGGTACCAGGGATCGAAATACGGTCTTTTTTAAAAGTAGCAATGTAATGGGTTATTTGGTATGTTACTATTTTAAATGTATATTTCTTTAATCATTATTGAGGCTGAATTCTATCCTATCAATTGGATATACTGATGTATCTTCTTTGTGAACTGTTAATTCATGTTTCTCTATTAAATTACTGTGATTAGTTTTTCTTGTAACTTATTATAAATTTTGTATTTGCACTGTGCAGTATGGTAGCCTTAGCAGTACATATCTATTTAAATTTAAATTAATTAAAATAAAAATTTCAGTTCAACAAATCCACCTGTCACATTTCAAGTGACAGGGGCTGGGGATGTAGCTCAGTAGCAGGGCTCTTACTTATTAGCATGTACAAAGTCCTGGGTTCAATCCTCAGCAGGGCAAACAAAACAATCAGGTGCTTAACAGCCACGTGTAGCTCATTAGTGAACATCACAGTGGTCAATGCATTACACAGAACATTTCCACTATCACATAACCTTTGTTACCACATATTGCTTTACAACAACAAGATATCACATACATTGCAAAGTTCATTTACCTTTTTTTTTTTGTACTGGAGATCGAACTCTGGACTGCACTTTCAAGGCAGGCGGTGGAACCACTGAGCTAAATCACCAGCCCTCATTTACCATTTTATTGTACAGAGGTCTTAGATATTAAATTCAAAGCACTGTTCATGATGTGAGAAAATTATTGTAGGATATACACCTACTTATATAGTTAAGTTTAGAGAAAAAGTAAACTCTTTGTAAAATCTTTAGAAAAGTAGGCCTAATTTCTTTTCAAAGGTAGAAAGGGGCCGGGGATTTAGCTCAGTGGTTTCGCCGCCTGCTACGCAAGCGTAAAGACCCAACTTCCATCCCCGTACCAAAAAAAACAAAAACAGAAACAAAAAACAAACAAACAAACAAAAAAAGATTGGGCTGGGGATTTAGCTCAGTGGTTTCGCTGCCTGCTGCGCAAGCACAAGGACCCAAGTTCGATCCCTGGTACCAAAAAAAAAAAGGAAAATGTAGATCAAAGGTAGAAAGTTACCAAAGCTTCAGTAAGTTCAAATTTGTCAACAGCACAGCTTCATATATAAACAACTATTAAACTTAGGAGCTGCAGCTTTTGGGTAAAGGTATTATAGGGAAGACTTGTAACTTGAAATTACGTATCAAGAAGTTAAAAAAAAACACAGTTGGTAATTCTCTGAAAATGATCTATTACTAATTCAAGGAGTCTTGTTTTTTGGGGTTTTTTTGAGACAGGGTCTCACTCTGATTCTCCTGCCTCAGCCTCTTGAGAGCTTGGATCACTCCTAGCTCAAGAAGTCCTATTTTGCAAATAGTAAAAACACAGGGACCAATTAGCATATAAGAGGATTAATGGTTAAGAACATATTCGATGGGAGGCTGAGGCAAGAGGATCACTGTGATTTTGAGGCCAGCCTGGGCTGGAGAGTTCAAGGCCAGCCTCAACTACATAGTGAGACCCTGTCTCAAAAAAAAATCTACAGGGCCGGGGATTTAGCTCAGTGGTTCCACCGCCTGCCTCACAAGCACAAGGTCTGGAATCCGATCCCTGGTACCCTCCCCCCCAAAAAAAAAATCTACAGTGGGCATATCAAGATTCAAACCTACTTCTGTCACTTAGTACCAAAGTGATTTGAAAAAATGAATTTAACTTCCCCATCTCTGAGTAAAAGGAAAGGCATGGAGCTTGTGGAAGGATTAAATGAATTACTTAGAACCAACCACTAGGTACATTGAGAAGCTTTTAGTTAATGGTTAACTATTAGTATTTTTAAAATTAATTTTATTGGTAATTTTAGGTATATAATATAATGACATTCATCATTGGAAACCTCCATCTTTACATAATCTCTCTTGGTTCTTATTTTTTCCCCATTTCCCTGCCCTCCCTTCGACCCCTCCACTATCCCTCCCTATTTAAAAAGACTTTGTTTCCATTTTTTCATTTTCTCATATTAATTCCATTCCCTTCTTTCCTTTCCCCTACCCCTCCCACTTCC